GGACCCGCATGGCGCTCGGTCTATATATCTTTGTTCTGGTGGGCTCCACGTTCAGCAGGTCGTTTAAACAAACCAATGAAATTTTAGTTCTTTTTTGGCGGATTTTCAAAGAGAGGGTTGAATTGAAACCATTGAAGCGAGCTTATAATGTTTACAGAGAAAAGTCTGTGACAAAATCAAACTAAAAAAAAAATCGGTTGTCTGTAAAGTCGGTTTACTGACGATAGTTGAACGTGACAACATCATAAGGAAATACTGATGGAATGGTTTCATTTTTCAAAAGAAAATTTTAATTTTATTTGTTTGATAGATATTTTGTATGGATATAGAGAAGGAGGTAAATGGAAAAGTATTATTGTATAGCAGCTGTCCACGCGGACGCATCGCTCACTCAAGTAGGAGAGAGACAGATGTCGAACGCTGCCGAACGCGGAGGCCGATTGTGCCTCTTTGTCGCTCGTTCCGCGCTCTCGCTTGCACTTCAAGCCTTAAATGGAACGCCTCAGAGCGAGGTAACGCCGCATGAGTCATGTTTTTTCGTGCGTGCAGCCGGCTCCATCGAATTATAAGACGTTGTCACGTCAAAAATTATCGTTAATCAAAATCTACGAGAAACCGTGAACACAAGAACTAAATATAGCGAAATCACAAATAATTAATATAGTAAACAATAAATAAGACAAATTAGAACACGAATCTATTCCAATACGGTTTTAATCCCAATTTTTATTAGGTAAATTTTTCGTTATACTTGTTAAATTATTGTTGTTGGTTCGTTGGCCTTTTATTTTTTCTCTGTTAAAATTACCTGGAACTGTCGGGTACCAGGCGTCATTATCCTGTACCCGGCGGATCCAGTATTTTTTTATGATCTGGTCAGGTACCTGATCCAAACTGGGTACCCAATCAATCCCTAATAAAAAGACAAAACTCCTTCAGCGAAACGTGCAATTTCTATGTTTGATGAACTTTTTGCCATACTCCTATAGGCAAAAAATCGGACTTACCAGAAATACCATAAATAAGATCTTTGAAAATGACGATCACATTATGACCAACAATCATTTCAGCTACTATTTAAGGGCTTAACATTAACCATGATTGTAGTATCCCCACTGTACTCATCATCTGATAATGGTATAACAGCCGAAACAATATTGTCAAGGCATAATAAATAAATTATTTTCAATAGTTCCATGAAAAAAAAAACCAAATGCTTTTATTTCAATTTATTTACTGTAATTACGATAATATTCGAAGGACAAAAGATTTACTTTAGGCATATGACGTGCGTATTGTTGATTACCGTAACGCTTCTTCAATTTCTCCAATGAAAATAAACCAATCGTCGGTGAAGTATCGCGAATGGTGTCCTAGACAACCGCGCTTTCGTTTGATAAGATTAGATGTACTGATATGTCTCCAACCAGAAATGATGCATACGGCATTCACAGTATTGAGTCAGTATACTTTCAAAAATCGTTCAATCCGAGCGATAAAGTTGAGCGCACAAACCAATTATTAATCGATAAGATGTGTATATACATGTTGGAACTTAAAAATAGTCACGTAAGTGAAACGATTTTTTCACTTTTCGTATATAATGTGCCTATACGGGACGCGCACTATATGTAGGTATATGCGGTATATTATTAACGCAATGGCAATTTATATATTAAAAAAGTTGTAAATTGTTTGCATATTTACACGAAAGGATTTAAAACGTAAACAACAAAACTATTCATCATTACCCTTATGAAGAAGAACTGGCTTATAATTAGTCGTAAGTAACTTAATTGATAACTCCTAAAACCTTCTTGGTATCTTCCAATAAAGACATTTCTTCGCATTGCCTAGAATTGTACCTTTAACCACAGTTTAGATAATAATCTGCTAGTTCAATTGGTATACTAGGTATCATTAGCACTATGGTTTGGATCACTGTTTGTAATTAGTGGGTAAATCAATAAAAATATACTTCTGTAAAATAAAATTACATTATGTAATGTACTTATCATCATCTGAAAGTGCCAGAGCAAAATAATTTCAAACTGTTTAAATGACCTCTGTATGATCAATATTACAGTTATCGGTAGGTACTTGCATACCCATGGTCAACCGTAGTCAAATTTCTTTTACATGTAGTCCTCGTACGCCGTACTCCACAATTTGATACATATCACTTGTTGCTCTTTTTTAGAGAGACTATTATAAACAAAACGTGGTAGTAAACATGCATAATAAGAGAGGCGCGGATAGGTGCGAGACATTTAGAACAATTAGTTTAACTTCCTATACGTCAAAAATCTTAACTAGAATTGTACAGAGGAGGATGGAAAAAAGGGCAAAAGAACTATTAGGGAATATCAATTTGGGTTTAGAACAAAACAAAAGAAACAATAGAGAAAACGATAGAAAAAGGAAAGAGCGCGTTCATAGAATTTTTAGATTTAGAAAAAAAAATTGACAATGTTAGATGGGACAAGATGTTAAATATACTTAAAAATGTAAGAATTAGTTACAGAGATACAAGGGTGATACTTATTTTGTATAAACAGCAACAGGCAGTTATAGAGCTAGAGCAGCAACGTAGAGAAGTAAATATTAGGAAGGGAGTCAGACAATGATGTATACTGTCACCCCTACTTTTTAATCTATACATCGAAGACGTGATCAACATCATTAAAGACAGTACAACTATAGGGATATATATACAGGGACAAAAGATTAGTATGCTTAGATTTGCAGATGATATATCAGTATTAGCATCTAGGAAGGAGGAGTTAGAGATAACTTTAAATAAAATGGAATCAGACAAAATAGTATTGTATGAAAATAAATAAAAATAAAACAAAAATACTGGTATGCAAGGGAAGAAAAAGTAGGGAAAGAGCGAATATTAAGATAGGACACGAAAATTTAGAAGAAGTGGCTGAGTTTAGAAGTGTTCGAAATGTGGTGTTACAGGCGAATGATGAGGATACCGTGGATAGAGAAGGTTAAAGATGAAAAGGTATTAGAAAGAATAGGAGAACAGAGGACTCTATGAAAGACAGTAAGGAATGGGCGAGATAGGTTGGTAAGACACCTTCTCAGGCGTGAAGGTCTAGTCAGAGACATATTAGAGGCAGAAACAGGAGCTAAGAGGAGTAGAGGTAGTCCTAGATTATATTACTGTTAAAAAATAGTAAAGGATGTGAGATGTTCTAGTCTTCGGGTAATGCGAAGATTAGCTCAGAATAGGAAAGAGTGGAGGTGCGTGTCCAACCAGTCTTAGGACTGACAACCTTATGATGATGACTGTCGAAGCATTGCTTTAATATTATTACCTTAACGAGTTATGTTTTGAAAATTTTTCGGCACTGAGACCGAAATATTGCTGTTACTCCAAAACTAATTGTAAGACCAAGGCCTAGAGTGTAAGAACAAGGCAAAAATCTTGGACGGACTTTGTTTTGCGTTTGCTCATCACTAATTAATTGTTAACCAATCTAAATTTTGTACTATGATTCTCTATGAGAATTAACATTAAAAACCCAATTATTTACTTATTTTGATAATACTTATTTGTAAAATAATTTTTAGTCCATTATAAGTACCTACTTCTAGTTTTAAATTTTAAAAAATGATTTACCAAATATAACAAAATTATTTCTCTAACCCATAGAGCGCTTTCCTACTAAATTCATTTAATGTTATTTTTTCTCTCTTGACAAAATTACTTATTTCTTGTGTGTTACTTTTGTTAATTTCTAACGGAAATCATCACGTTTTACAAGACTAAACCACCCGAGGCGAAATTTTCCTATGGTCTTCTCATTGCCTATATTGATTTTAGAAATGTGATCAATGTAAGCTCAATTTGAACTAAGTTTAGCGCTCAATGTTCAGGATTACATTGCTCTTACATTACAAGTGTGGCATAATTCCCTTTTCAATAGTGGCAATGTGAACCCTAAGACCATTCATAAATAGCCAGGCAATGTAATAATGACAAAATCAATGTCATAATTTTAAGGTAGGCAATGCAATTGAGATATTATAAAATTAAATTAGGCTATGTCATAATGACAAAACTAATATCATAAGTTTAAGGTAGGCAATGTGAATGAAATGTTATAAAATAAAGCTAGGCAAAATAAAAAGAATGCAATAGTTCAATACATTTTTCAAAGTTATTGAATTATTACATTCTGTAAAAAAGATAATTCGAAATAATAATGTTAAAGAAGAAATATATATTTTTAAAACATTAGCAATGCAAGCAATATGAAGTCAAGATTCGCATATGAAATTTTAAAAAATCAAACTTTCACATTACCAACACTGCCACATAATTATTTGATATTGCCTGTATTGCTTATCAGCAATGTAATCATGATGATTCCAATGTGAACTAAAAATTCGTAGTAATGTCTTTAATGTCAAATAAAGAGTATAGCAATGTGACTAATTCAAAAGTCCATAGAAAAATTTCATCTCGGACACAGCCATACAAATTCAAGACATCGTCTAAAAAAAAAGATAAAAATCAAATTCCAAATGTGCAAGACGAAAGACCAAAACCTACAGATTTTGACTTTGCATTTACGCTGCCTCATTTATTCCCTCCTAAAATATAATTAACTAGTTGTAAACTGTCCGAATTTTGACAGTACCTTTGTCGTTGGCAGTATTCAACTTTTAACCTCCATTTCACCCCCTTAGCGATGGCTATGATTTTAAAAACTCATTTTATTAGGACGCGCTGTGCAAAATTTTTAAGTTTCCTGACTCAGCGGCATGGGCTTCGCCTTGATCGATGCATCAAACTCTAAACCTCTTAAGGAGTTGAATTTTAAAAAATCCCACCTTGTACTGTGCAAAAAGTCTCTAGACCTCGAGAGTTTGGGCTGTGAATTGATATAATCAGCCAGTTTATCTTTTTATATAATTATAATGTAGATAAGTATATTTTCCGATATCATATCACTTGATTTTATTCCTGTCATTTGTTTCAGGCTACCCGAAGCGTAGCATGGGTCGGACATTAGATGTCCACCGTACACAAACATCCCGTTATCATCCTCAACCCTCATGGACAGTCAGGAACAAGCAAAGAGCCAGCTTAAGCTTCTTCATCGTGGTTATCTTCTTCGCGGTCTTTGGAATGATAGTCTTCACTGAATTGTTTGTGATAGACGAAAGAAACCGTAATGGAGGATACACCATGCGAAATGGTATCTTACTTTACCGTTCACATCAAGAAAAGAACGAATACGAAGAAGATCTTCAGGTAAAATTCACGTTCCAAAGTTCTTATTAAACGAAAAGGTAATTTTGCCATTTTTAGAACAACACCAAAATGCGAACTATAAGAAATAACTAGCCGAAAACAAACAAAAAAGTACCCAGAAAATTATCTTTTCAATTAATGAAAAGTTATTTTTAAAAACAATTATTCTATTAAGTAACTGTAAAAAGCTTAAAATTGAAGCAAGCGACTTCTCTAATCTAGAGACTAATAAGAAGTAACAAATTTATTATTACATATTAGAAAGATACAACACTAATCCTAAAAATGCATAATCAGTAAAATACGTTCTCACGGTAACATCTCACTCTCGTCGGTTGTACCTATATAGATTCAAGGACATAACTAGAAGTTACTTTTCTTTTGAAATTTAATTAAAGGAAACCTTGAAAGATCGATCGCAAAATATTCCTAGAAAAGAAATTTAAATGAATAATAAGAGTGTTATTAAGCTTCATAATTTGAAATTCAAAAGAACGAAACAAGATTCAACGAAATAAAAATTAATATTTAATAACAAGTACGCTGTAATTATGTACTAAAGGTACTTCACATATACTTACATACGCATATTCTTACTAACATAAGAGAAATCGTAATATTTATACATTACTTTGTTGTTTCACTGATAGAAGCAGCAAGCACATTTATTTTAAATTAATATAATTTATATTAAAACGTTGAATTCCCTTTCGAGATCAAGATGATGTTCTTCCAACTTTTTAGTATTGCTATCCTCGTCTTAGTTTCAGTACTTTTGTATTCAGTCCACTCCTTTTGATCCTTCCATTAAATTTTCCATACTTTCGTTTGTTCTCATTACTTTGCATAGTGTCATTACCTGTTCTTTTGCCTTTTTACAAAATCTACACAATCTTTTGCGGTTTTCCACCGGTAACAACTTGCCTTCCATTCCTTGTCTGTTCTGAACCTTGGCATCAGAAGCGTACAAGGGGTGGTTGATAATATTTGTCTTGAGAAAAATTTTAATTAATAGGAAAACACTCAAATACAGAGTGTAGGGGTTTAAATTAATATGAACGAGTGTTAGGCCAGCCGAGCGACATGGCCTAGGAGTTTAGACTATTGCTTAGCATTCGGTAGGAACCTAGTTCGATTTTGAATCCGTCTGCCCAAGTATCTTCTTGCGTGTTTGCTTTTGGATTACACAGTAAATTCGGAGACAGTAATATTTTACATATAATTTTTCACTCACTTCAGTCTTCATTTCGTCTATCTCATCTTTCTCACTCATTCCAATCACTATCCACCCATCCATCAATCTCTAAAAGCAGGTGAAAAAGGTCTCCTGCTCCACCATCCTGCGTAGTCGGGAGGGACTGCTCGCCCATCAGCGTTAGTAGCTGGTAGGTGATGGGATAGGTTTCCCTGGGACCCTTAGGGACTTTTGTAGTTTAACTTTTTCCAATAAATCCTACCTGCTACTGTGACCTTTTGGACCTGGTTCAAATAGCATACCGGACTAAACGACATTATCGGTCCAACTGAAACGTTCTGTTCTTGCACGACAATATAAACACTTGCATACCGCAAATGAAATCAGTTAGAAATTAGATCACATGCACTGGCCTTCCCTTGAACACCTTTTCTATAGTCCCGTTCGTTTACAATGTTTGGACTGCTCAAAGAAACTCTTGGTGGGGAACGCTTTTAGAATGATCAGCAAGTTGAGAAGTTCGTAATGAACATATGATGAAAAAGAGAAATTATACCCTTGGAAAAATGATGCAAGAAAATATTTTTAAAAACAATCTACAGAATGTTTCTTAAGCAATAGACTCGTTTCTATTTGAAGCATCCTCCTAGCAAGAAAATGTTCCATCAAAATTGTAAATCCAAGTAACATAACTGACTAAGAATGAGTAGCAACGATAGCCTGAAGTAAATCAATCCTTGTCTGTCTCTTTTTTAGACGAATAAGTTTGAAAGATAAAGTTATGAACTAGTTTTGATTTAATAATTCATAAGTAGACACTTATAAATTCAAATATAAGTACTTACTACATTAAATTTTACACGTCTTTGGCATATTTTGAAGTCAACGTAAATAAGGGCTAAACTCCGGTAATAATTATCCTCATGTATCTCGTGTGACTTTAGATATTACAGGACGTGCATTCACTTTTATCATTTTTAAACACCCCCAAAGGAAAAATTCAGAGGATGTTACTAGAAAGATAATGTCCTCAAACTTTAAGATGATGAATGTTAATAAGCAAGATCCTTAGAACCAACAATCCATGACTTTTCCTGAGGGAGCAATTAGAAGTTTTACTGCAGTCTCATTCAAAATTTAGAAAGAAACGCTAATACTGGAAAAGAAGTTCAAAAAGAAAATGTGATATACGGTTCTTTACAAAATTCAAGAATCCGTTTACTTATTTTGGGTACAATTATCAACCAATCAATAATTCAAGGATCTTAAAGGAATTTTTTAACAAAAACATATGATGGACGTAATGGATTTCTACAATTAACTTTAGCAAATAGGTAACAATTTTTAATTGTTAATCATCCAAGTGTTATCCAATTAGGAATTAAAAATGATAATAATATTATTATATCTACAGGTACACTTTCTATATAAAATTAGCCAAACATTTCGACTAAAAATCAAAAATATAGCAAAAGGAGACTTCATCTTTATATATATCGTATAAACAAATACATCAGTGAAAAATAAATTATTGCGTCTCTAACTGGTATAAACTCTAAAAGTCAACTTTTTCATGATTCTTTACAGAAGCAGCTTATTTTGGAGTACCAATATTTTTATGATTTATGAAATCAGTTTACTTATTAGATATTATCGCATTTTGATTAGATTGTGTGTGAACCAATTATTCATCGACATATGGCACATACTCTCTTTCATACTGCGTTATATTATAACAGGCAAATGAGATGAAGCATGTAACATGAGTCTAAGATAATCATGACGAATACTCTACTCTCTATTTCACTACCTTGAAACCGTGAAACTATCCATAGCGTAAAACATTTTTTTAGCAGAATTTTTGTAAGGTTTTCCGTACATCAAAGTGAACTAATTTTTGAATTAATGTTTACCACTAGAGATCGGTATTAACAATCAAATGTCTCATTATACATTGGTTTAATGATTCTATAATCTACATAGCTAGGCTAGATTGTCGTTGTTGTTGCTGCCACCTTTCGTAACTTAATAGTAGTAATGGTGCGTAAGGCCAGCGTCCGGGTTCAACTCCCGGCGAGAGCGTAACAGCAGCAAAACTTTTTTTTGATTAATATGATGTTATCTGTAATGATAAAATTAATTCAAAAACTAATTCACTTTGATATATCCATAGTTTTTTATTAATCGTTCACAAACCGTACACAAAACAGTCTTGCTCAAAAGGGGTCTCGTGCGGTATACCTGGACAACAGTCCGCTTAGCGCCTATTATCTATCTCACGAAAGAATGATGGTTATGGATCTATAAGCGAACTTCATGTACACTATCTATCATTTCTCAAATCGACTAACAAAAATAAAGACAGACAGAATAGAAGAGAATGGTGAACTAATAAATAACATACGACTGTAAAGTATAATTCAGTAAACATAGCATTTTAAAAAAAAAACATTAATAAGACACGACATTGATTTCGTCATCTCGGAGGAGGGGTCTTTAAAAGACACCCCCTGAAGGACGGTAGTGTCGGATTCGCCGAAGCGCCTAGATACTGACTAAAACCGCTCCTCGAGTAGGGAGTTCAACCTGACGGTTGTGCATCCCAGGAAGATTTATTGGGAGGGTTAGGAGAGGAGAGTGGGTTGAATAAGGGGAGGGAGAGCTTTGGGGGGGGGATGGTGTGAGTGAAAAAATCGGTGTCCTACCTCAGTAAGTTGGTGGGCACTCGCGCTAAAGAGCGAAACTAGAGTTGAGAAAAAGGTGAACAGTTTAAAAGAGAAGGTGGTATGGTCTTCTGAAACGCTCTTTTGGTTTAGAAACGAAGTCGGAAAGTGTCGAGATAGAAGGGTTTGTGTGACCTGACAGTCAGGCCCTGAGATTTGCCGCGAATCTGGTTGCAGCCTAGGGGAGTGAAGATAGACCAGTTTCTTTGAGAATTTGGGTATTTCTGATGAACCATGAGTAGTTGAGTGCGAAACAAATAATCCGCACATGTAGGCGTAATGAGCAAATGTTTCTGATAATTGCGTTGAAGGCACGGATTTTTGTTTGATGCGAGATGGAGCTGTTTTGGAAGAAAGGCTTGAGGGAGAAAAAGGCGCCTAGGGCCTTGGCATGGGTATCAAGGATGAGTTTTCGTCATGCCAATGTTCTGTCAAAGACGGAGTTGTTCCATTTGAAGGGGTGGTTGTTAGCGGTGATGTTGGGAGGCTTTCGGATCCTGTGGGAGAAGAAGATAGCTTCCTACTTGGTCTCGTTAATGGCAAGTTTCCATTTTCTATACCTATTGAGGAGCAGAGGCAGAACAAGAGTGTGGAATTAGAAAGCGTATATGTACTTTCCCAACAGTGAACCTTCCGGCGAAACAATCTTCATACCTTCTGCGGATCGTGTATCTGTATGGTGGTTAGTGGCTTGCATACAAGAGATGATACAGTTGAATCACCAAAGGAAGAGGTTAGAAGTTAGAAAGCTAGGTTACCGATGTACCAATTTCTTCGGCAAAAACACCAAGAATTTCGTTCTAATGAAAAATATACTTACAAAAGTTTGCGAAACCAACCAATTTGTATTTAGTCCTAAATACAATAAAATCATCACAATACATCACAAACGTGCCTAAAGACCTTAACTAAATTTCTTTCAAGAAATATAAATTTTTCCTTCGTAGGACACCGAATCTTTTAGCCTCTAACTACTCTAGTGCTTAATGGTTAAAACCTGCTACGAATACCAAAAAATTGGTCCATCTAATATTATTGCACGACGGCCCTGATTCTAGCTAATAGGGAATAAAACATTTTATCTCCCTCCACATTTGCGTTACCTGGAATCATGGCAGCCCTCGTCTCCCCCCTCCACTGGTCGGACTATTTAGTAACATATATATCAGCAAATGGTGTCAGACTGCCGTAGCTGGCTGTACTATTACTTCTTAATGATAAATTCATTTTTTAACGTATCGATAAGGAAATATGTATTATAGGTTTGTATAAAACTATTTCCCAATTGTGCTATACTTTTGTAATTTGTTACAGGGAGACAATTTTCCGAAGGCCCTAGATAACGGTATCGAAGCACTGTTAGCTGGTGAGCAATTTGGAGTTCCTATCGCAGCTGATAATTTAAAATCGCAGGGATATATACTTCCTAATTCGATGGGAACCCAAATTTCTAGTGGATCTCAAATAAATGTTCCTCTTGCCGATGGAATTTGGCAAAACGTAGCAGGAACAACGTGAGTACATACGAGGGTGGATTGATAAGTTTCCGGCCTAACCAAGAGATGACGCCACTAGGCCTACCTTGAGGTGACATTCTATAGTACCATCCTTGGATAGCTTGTAGCTATAGTTTCAGCCCGATCTCCTTGCTAGTGTAGGTTTGACAGCACGCTGAACAAGACGCCTCTGTGGTTTTCGTAAAAATGGAAAAGCAGGAAAATCGT